GAAGGGTTGGTATAGTTAGTTTTGTTGTTGATATTTATTTGTTTCTCTTTTGTTTTTACTGTCGAGAGCTTTTGTTCAGGAAACAGTGGATTTTATATTTTGTTAGAAATAAACCTCAGATCAACCAAGATTATTATTATTTCTCTTGGTATGTTGGCAAAGTAATTTTGAAAACAAGAATTTAATTGATCACACATGAACAGAAGTGTTTGGGTGAAAAGTCCGTTAGAGTTACCTCCCCTTAATTGCAGGTTGAGAGCCATGTTGAATGAAAATGTCTTTCTGTTTTATAAAACGATTTCAGACTCCTTTTAAAATTTCTAGCAGTTGTCTAAATAGGTGAATATGCATTTAGGAAAATAATAATAAGTCAGTAATTCTAAGTGTGTGTGTGTGTTTCGTAATGCTGGATTAGTCAGTCTAAGTAAATTTAGCCTCAGTATTATTCGTTACACTGCTATACTGAGTATAGTAGTGTAACAAATAATACTGAGGCTAAGTTTACTTAGACTGCTGGATTAGTAACCTGCAGTCCTTATTTTGTAATCACCTATTATGTTTTCGTTGTTATATTTTGTTGTGATTTTTGTTTGTTGCTATTATATATTTCTCATTGTAATTGATATATTGCCTGTATTTAAGGTGTTGTGTTTCAGCTAATAACCACATGAGACTTCTGACCACAGCTACATACTGTTTGAAAATTTCTCCACATACAGTAACGTAACATTTTGTTGTCCATCACCTTATAATTTTATATGACTTTTTGAATAATGTAGTTTATCTTGTGAGCCATGTCTGTTATGACTTAGGGGTTACCAGTATTCTGAAAAATATTTATAAATGCTTAACGGTCATAGTGGCAAAGTTACATGCTTGAAAGACTGACAGTCTTGACATCAATTGTTACCAGACAAAACCAACCATTGAAAAGTTAACCCATGACTGATTTGCAAGAAGATGATAACAATTCAAACATTTTATGTCTTATTTTTTCAATACAGACAGAAAAAGAAAAATTAGTGAAAAAATGTTTTTCAGTTAATCACCTCTTTACTCTAGCTCATGCACAGCTCATATCACATTTTTATAGATCATTTTCACATATTATGAAGCAAAACATGCCATATTTGCCTTTATCAAGAAAAGAGTTCCTCTTTGACTATTCAGATAATATGATTATTCTGAATGAATAATCACTGCCTCTGTACTTGTAATAATACAGTGATGTTATTAATCATGTTTAAATGATATGCAGAGATGAAACATCCTTTACCTTCTATTAATCAGTTGCATGAGGGCAAGTATAATTTTTTTCTATTTTAATTAAGTTTGGAAAAATATAATGACTGGTATTTTGTGTATTATTTCTATCAGACCAGTAATGTGTGAGATTCATTGGTACAATGTGTGAATCCCATTCGTGATATCCCCAGAATGATGTGGTGGAATATGTCTAAGGGGGATGTCCTTAAACAGGGGAAGTGTCTCAACTGCTGATGCCATGTATGTCTCTCAACTAATATGATCAGTTATTGCAATGGACATGGGTGAAAGCAATCAGTGGCATATGGATACCATTCAGTGCCACAAATGTAAATTGTGTTTGAATGATGAAATTGTCTTGTATATGTTGTTTCTACATGTTGAAAATTAAAAAGAAAAACATGAAGAAAACCCCAGTTCAATTGGTCACATATTATCATGATTATGATTGTATCTACTCAAGAATACTATGTACTCAGTGATTTGTCTCCCTTAGATGTCTGTCCTGGGTGTGAAATGAAATAATTGTTAAATGTTATTGAATATTTTGCCAGGCAACCAATTTCTGCCAGTGATTGTATTGGGATTATATATAATATGTTGCCAGGCAACCAATTTCTGCCAGTGATTGTATTGGGATTATATTATACTAGTAACTGATAATATACAATCAATCTACAATGTGACATTATCATTGTTTCAATCAACACGTCTAGTGTCTGTGCAATAATATTCTCATCTTCCAGGCCATTACAAAAGACTTATAGTTAACAATCATTAGTTTTAAGATTGTTGTATACATTCAGCTCACATGTGTCAATTGAATTACCTTATAGCCTGCATGTCCAGTGTCTGACAGTATCTGTAAACATCCCAGGTGGTGGGGTGGCCTAGTGGTTAAAGCATTCACTCACATGTCCGAAGACCTGTGTTCAATTCCCCACATGGGTACAATGTGTGAAGCCCATTTCTGGGTCCCATGCCATGATATTGCTGGAATATTGCTAAAAGCATCGTCAAATTGAACTCACAGTAAACATCTTCCCTTAAAAACTGAAATATATGAGGAAACTTCTAGTTGTTGCTAGCATTGATGACTACAGAATTTGTTTATATATGTTCGAAGCTAATTCTAATTGTTGCTGCCAGCTAAATCTTTCTTCATTTCATATCTTGTACATATCGATAGAATGTAAGTGTCAGTTTAGTTCTCAGTATTTATACATTAAGATAATTGTTGCTATCAAAACATTTGAAATTGTTGACTGTGTATACAGGTCAGCTACAGTTTTGGACTAGAACAATATGTAAATAATATACATGTAACAAACTCCTTACACAGAGGCTAAAAAGGATTACTTCTGCCTGTTAATTTATACACTTTATTCATGTCCCTGTAATTATTAATGCAGTAGCCATGAGTTTTTCCTCTTCTGTTTCCTGTGTTTTCATCATAATGTCAGCGTATGAAATAAGGCCCGGCCGACCGGCCGAGACGGGCTAGATTTCTGCCGGATGGTCTAATTTTACAGCTAGCCAGCCCGATGGACAGGGGGAAAAAATTTCAGATAACATGTCCACTGGCACTGTCTATTTAGTATTTAAGAAGGACCTGTTAAATCTCTTCTGGGCTGGTAAGTTTTTGAAGTTACCAGCCCAGATGTCGGGCTGAGTTTTTGGCTTATTTCATACACTGATAATGTGGACATTTTGCCAAGAGGCAAGTTTGAAGTGAGGTCATTGTAGCCTTTAAAATTCTATTCACTTACAAATAACACAAAATGTGAAGAGGGTAGCCATATTTTTAGGGTGATAAGGTTTGTCTTTAAGTTCATGAGTAATTATAGTTTGGGCTGGTCAGCTTTTACATCAGCTTTACACACAAATCAAACTGATTTTAAAAACGGCAGTATTTCAAGGTTGATGAAGTTTGTGTCCATAAAAGAATTTAAGTTACGGCTGGACCAACTGTTACCATATGCATTTTGACAGGCTGGGTTCTATTTTATGAAATCTAATTTGGCATCAAAATTACCCCCAAACAGACAAACTGGCCATGTTGGACTTTCTGACAGATATATGCAACATGTGGGTTAAAAAATAATTCTTGTCATTTTGTATGTTTTGAAAAACTTTCTGAAAGAACATTCTGACTCTGACAGAAATCTCTGGGCCTCTCCAAGAATGTTATATGCTCAGTGCCTATGTTGTTGTACATCCATGCCATGTTGGTATTCAGGAAGATATAGAGGGCATTCACTCGCAATTTTCGATCATGTTACTCTTATTAATAAACTGTTTTTAAAGATAACAGGATATGATATGATGTTCCTTGAAATTATTTTATTGCTTCAGTGAAATAAAACTGCAACAGTCTTGCGTTGGTGTTATCTGGTTATTTATGAGTGTAGAGGAGACCATTTGTCTAATGCCAGAAAGTGTGCTGGAGAGTTATGTACCTTAAGTACTGGCCATACTTTATGGCGGTGGTCACCCATTTTGTTCTGGGGAGGTAGGGCAGATCATCAATTTAGCACACATGTACAAGGGGGAGTGTCATTGACTTTGTACATGACATGCAGGGGGGTCACTTACTTTGTACATAAATTGGGTGGGGGTGGGGGTGTAATTCACATTGTACATGCTTCCCCATAAAAATCATCACCCCTCGTTGCCATAGGTTATGAATGGTCCCTTAATATATGGTAGGTTCAGTGGGTAATGGTTGTGATTTTTTTTGGGTGTGTGGAGACAGAAGATAGTTCTGTATCTGTGATGTACAGAAGGAGCACATTACTTTCATGTCATGAATAGAAATTAACATTGTGTGTAGCTGTATGCTGGGCGGAGCATAAAAATGATTTTAACATGCAATATATTGTGATGTTGATGACAAATGATTATTACTACTATAAGTCTACTACTACTACTACTACTACTACTATGTCAAGTACAACATAGGCCACGCATTGCTGCAAAACTGTTGATGTGGTGTTGAGAAATATTCACTCACTACAACAGGACCAATCAGTAACTTTCTTTGGCTTAAAGTAAGGAAGCTGAAAATGAATCTAAGGCTTTTTAAACTTCTCTGTTTCCTATGACCATGGACAGTTTCAGTTTAGCACACCCTGACCAAATGATAGATCAGGTTTACTGACCAAATACCAATGCCAAAACCAGTACTGACTGTCAGAACAGGTCGATCATTACAAGCAAAAGTAGGTTATCACGCTCTTTGCCTTACAACTAGACGCCTTGCCTTGGCATTTAGATGGGCAGGAATATAGATGGAAATGTTATGCTGCCGGTTTTAATTTCCTAAATGAATCATGCACACACTATAAACAAACTGAACGCGCAAGCAGGTTGATGTGCTATTGTCTAAGTGTACTTGAGGGAATGGATGGACAGTCTCTCTTGATGCACAAAGGGAGACCACTCTTGCCAGACTATTAGCGAGCGTTTATCAGCCATGTTTTTCCCAGCCGAAAATACGTAGCTTATCTCTCCGCAGCAATTAGTGCAGCTACCGAAAAGTTGTCATAAAATGTATAATCTGGCACTAAGCTCTATGACCCTCTGACATTTAAAGGTCATCCTGTTGTGACCCTTAACTTGTTTTGAGTAGTATATTTCACGTTAACCTATCACGGCGGTGGGCATCAGAAATGGGCTGCACCCATGTGGGGAATCGAACTCGGCCCTTCCGCAAGATGAGCGAACGCTTTAACCACAAGCTACCCTACCGCCTCCATCTCGTCTTAAGTTTAGATGTTTGCATTCTGAGACAGAAAGAGGTGTTGTGCTCCTCGTCTAGTGGTAATTTTCAATCCAGGTAATATTTCGATTCCTGTATGATACTGGGGCAGTTATGGTGCTCATTAATAATAATAATCAAGAATAGTTGTATAAAGCACAAACAGCACAGGACCCAGCACAGATCCTTGAGGTACTCTACACGATAGTAAGAAACATTTAGACTCTTCTTGATTGATCACGACGGTTTGTGATCTATTACACAGGTATGACGCAATCCAGGCAAGCACAACATCTGTAATTCCCATCTCCAGCTGAAGTCTTGAGAGTAGTAGCTTATGGTCCACAGTGTCAAACGCTGCGGAAAAATCTAAGAGTGTTAAAAAAGCAATATTCCCATCATCAACTCGATTTCTGAGCTCATTCATGACTCGCAACAACAGTTTCTGTACTATGGTTATCACGGTAGGCAGACTGAAACTCATCCATAAGTCCATTTTCTGTGAGATGATCTTTAAGTCTTATATTCACAGCCTTTTCGATGATTTTGGAGATAAATGAAAGATTTGACACAGGCCTATAGTTTCTCAGATAGTTAGGTTCTAAATCGCTTTTCGTGAGAAGAGGCTTCACAATAGCAGATTTGAGAGAGTCTGGAAAAACTCCATAGGATATATTCAAATTCACCAAATTAGTAATGAAAGGAAGAAGTTCATCCAAATAAACCATCAACATCGATGTGGGAATAGGATCCAAGGAACAAGTTGTTTTCTTTGATGAAAGTATGATCTTCTCAACTTCTTGTGGGGAGAAAGGCTCAAAATTGGATAATTTATTACAAATTCGTACGTCAACAGTCTCTGGTGGCATTGAGCCACTATCAGTACGTCTCTGATAGATATAGGCAACAATATTAGATGAAGAAAACATAGTGGCGTTTGAGAAACGTCACTAGGTCTAGACACCCCTTGATAGTTTAGACACGGAAATCGCAATGGCCATAACTCCAATGTGAATATGTGAGTGAGCGAGTAGGTGGTTGTGTGAGTGATCATAGTTAGCTCCTAGCAATAGTTTCCCCATATCGTGGTGGGGAGCACAAAGAATGGGTTTCACACGTTTTCTTCAACACGTATCATCTGGTACATAACGTGGGTACACATGAGCAGTCATGTGTTTGAAGTGTACAAGTGTACTCTGCTGGCTCAGAAACAGTTTACTGTGTCATAGCTGGGTATCCATGATAAAACGCGGGCGTGCTTTGTCAGTAGGCAAACACTATAAACAAACACAAACACATTTACATTAGGTTTACCAGTAGGAAGTCAGTGACATTTACTTTTCAGACACAATATCATTAATACAGGATAGGGTCAAGGTCAGGTACACCTGTCAGCCAGATAGTCGTTAGGTGCGCCTTGGGCATGCCCAATGTCTATTTCGAAGCATGACGGTTTTCGCAGTGATAATTTAAGAAGTTGGCAAGTTTTCATTCACGTCACACAAGTAGAGTATTGTCACCGCCTTGCGCTTCAAATGTACGATCTCGGTCAGTCTAGTAATTAATGATTACCTTTTTCACACAGATGCTGCTCCTTGTTGTAGAATGTGCCTTTAAGGATTAGCCGGTGTGTATATAAAGTGCTACAGAGCTGATATTGTGTCGACGACCTTGAAAGTGTAACTGAACCGACACAGAATGATGTGGTCTAGACGTGACTGTTTTGTGACACATTGTATACCCTGATTGGTTTGGTTTATTTGTTGGTTAACGCCGCAATCAGCAATATCCCAACTATGTGGCGGCGGCCTGTAAATAATCGAATCTGGACTAGACAATCCAGTGATCAATATCATGAGCATCGTTCTACGCCATTGGGATACGATGACAAGTGTAAACCAAGTCAGAGAGCCTGACCACAGGATCCCGTTAGTCGCCTCTTACGATAAGCATTGGTTACTGAAGATCAATTGTAACCCGGATCTTCACTGGTTTGTATACCATGAATGATATCCCGTTTATGTGAAGTGTTACCTGAGCATGAGTGTTCAGAAGAAAAGAAGCGTTAAATAGTTGGGCATATAAGATAATGAAGGGCATCTCACTCGAACGTAATAATAGATTTATTCCAACACGTTCGCCTCCTTCGTATCAATGGGTATTAGTTGAGTTGAGTTGGGCTTTACGTCACATCGGCATTAGTTCAGCCATATAGTGACGAGAACAAGTCTGCATTAATAAACATTGTAAGTACAGAGTCAAAATGAGTTTTATTTCAAAAACATATATTCATTACATTGTCATTTAAAGACAAAAAAAGGCATAGCACTAAATTTACAGGCAGGCAATTTGTTAGTCACATTACACAGTTACAATTTATGATACGGATCAACTTCCCTCAGGTAGTTCACTATCAGATGAGCGCGCACGCGGGAGAACAGATCTTTCAGATTTGTTGCATCATAGTGTGAGTCCCTTGCAGACGATAAGTCCACACAGTCAAGCAGAATATGCTTGATGGTGAACACCTCATCGCAAGAGACACACATGGGGGGTCCATCCCCATCCGTTTTCAGCAGATAGTCATGTGTAAACCGACTGTGGCCAATACGACATCCTCGTAACATTACCTCATCACGTCTTGACTGACAACCCAAGTAGGTATAACCAATTGTTGGCTTCAGTTCATTTCTTCCTACTTGAGTGTCCCACCTCTTTTGCATGTGGTCCCGAGTATAGCTTTTGATAGTGGGTTTGAAATCACTGTACTAGTTCAGCAGTGGAGATAAGGGCTTGTCAAGAGCTGCTTTAGCTGCAGCATCGGCTTTTGTGTGACCTGCTATGCCGACGTGACCCGGCAACCAGCAGAGGACGATATCACATTGGCCAGTAGAAAGGTCGTTGTAAAGTTCTAAAATGTCCAGAATGATTAAAGAGAAAACATGACAGCTACGTCGCCCTGAAACAAACACACACATGCACACGCAAGCACGCGCGCGCACACACACACAAAGCATACACGTGGGTGCAAATGTCGCAACAACTACGATTTATAACCGACATATACATGTAGCCTTTTACGTCGAGTTTCGCTGAGAATGGTTCATGAAGAAACTGTAGGTTGTTGATTGTCACTGCACGCTATTCAACTTTACACGACTCAGTAGAAGTAGAGACACTTTCGTGTTCAAGTGAGAAGTAGTGCCTACGAAACACGTGTGACGGTCACATAAGCTCCGCCCACTCATGTTTATTTATGATTACTGTGCACTTAAGACCATTGTAGGTTAAGGACACCACAGACGTACGCGCCGTCTAAGGATACCCCAGGCGTGGGTGACAAGTTTTTACTGAGTGCGGGCCATGGTAAGGTGGTTATGTTGTCCTGTTGAGGTATTCAGTAAAAAAATTCTTGCTCTTGCGTTGTCATCCTGAAATCCAAAACGACGTCCATGTTGGCGCGCACCACGTGTGGCTCCAGGACGTTGTAATGGTAGTACCGACCAGTGATAAGTCCGTACTTTGCCAGTCACAGTTTTCCCACCCCTCTCCTTTACTGAGCCACCATAACACGGTCATTCTGTCTGATCTTAAGGGAATGACAACGTTCATTCCGTCTTCGACACGCTCTGTTACCTCTTTCAAGGAAACCTTGATTCATCCGAAAACAAAACGTTTGCCCAACGACGATTGGTCGAGGGAGGCCGTTTCTGACACCATGACGTCTTGCAGTTATGGGATAACACGTGGTTTCATGGTTTGTTTCTTTCATCTTCTGTTGCATGTGTACGAATTGGCTGCCCGCTCAGTCAAACACCTGTAGCTCTGAAACTCATCTCCAATTAGAGTGGCCCTCTGATCACAGTTTCGTAACACAGTGGGTCTGATGAAACGGTCTTGTGCGCCATTTGTGGCCTTTGGTCAACTAAGATCGACGTCTGCCTTTAACGTAATCTGTGAGTCGGTATTGTGGTTGACAGTTGTAATCCGCTAGTTACTGGTTGTGAAACATTCAGAGTTTGTGCCAAAATGCCCTGTCTTGTTCCAACTTCCAACATGCCAATTGTACGTCGCGTTCCTGATGTGACTGACGCCGCATATAAACACGTTTGAGTCTAAAACAATATCAGAACGACTCTCAGTCAGATTTTTATCATTGAAATGTACAGAAACACACCGACACGTTTCACTACACTTTTCAATTAGTTACCGGGACCATATTCACGTTCACAACATGAAAAATGCTTGAACGGAACTGGCATGTTTGCACGTAATTCAAAACATGGTGTGAATGGAATAATTATTTCTAAATCCATATACAATTATACAAATTGGTTTCTAAATAATATCAACTCACAAAGGAATATCCAATACCTTTTGTCACAGTATATGTAACATAACTACGTCATATACATAATCTGAAAACAATCAGAAACTTATGACATGCTAACATGCGAACCGCCTCCGTGGTGTAGTTGTTAGAGCGTCCGCCCCGAGAGCGGAAGGTCGCGAGTTCGATCCCCGACCGCCTCATACGAAAAGACTGGTTAAAATATGGTACTTGTTGGTCCCTGCCTGGCGCTCGGCATTAATGGGTACAACAAGGACTGGTCGGCTCGGAGTCTGTATGTGTCTGAGTGGTGTAGTCATGCTTTACTGCGGCATGGTATCTCAGTGAGCTAGCACTATAAAACCAGCTTAAGACTGAGCTAGAACAAGCAGCCGCACATACACACGCATGCAGGTCGTCATATGAGCGAAATATCCACAAGTACGACGTTCAACCTCACCTCACCTATGATATGCAATAACAACTCCGTTGGGGTTTTCCCGGAGACTTCTCTGGCGATATAAATGGATTGAGGCGCGGAGACTTCTCTGGCCATATAAATGGATTGAGGCGCGGAGACTTCGCTGGCGATATAAATTGATTGAGGTGCGCCACTGGCCTATTCAGTATTTAGATCAAGCAAGCACAGGTATGAGTCACTCTTCATGATGTGGACAGGTATGCGCTACGTACTATGACAAAGGTACTCATTACCCACTGGCAAGAACCCATTGTCAAGTTACAAGTGGAGAATTGTTGAAAACCAAGACATGTACTAGGTAAGAAATTCGTAAACAGTACATGCACAAGGGCTTGAGTGTAAATGGTAAACTATAGTCAAAGTGAGAGAGAGTGAGTGAGTTTAGTTTTACGCTGCATTCAGCAATATTCCAACTATATGGCGGTGGTCTGTAAATAATTTAGTCTGGACCAGACAATCCAGTGATCAACGGCATGAGCATCGATCTACGCAATTGGGATACGATGACATGTGTCAACCAAGTCAGCGAGCCAAACCACCCGGTCCCGTTAATCGCCTCTTACGACAAGCATGGGTTACTGAAGATCAATCCTAGCCCTGATCTTAGTGACAAAGAGTCCAGTAACGTGTGTTACGACACCATGACAACCGGGTATTGGAAGGATCAGAATTAACATGGTTTATACAGTACGCAGATGTGCAATGCTTTCCAAAGCACTTTTGAAGCAATACCGTTATGGCGATATCTCCTAGAAAATATCTTTTCATCTCATAGGTAGGTATTGTGGCAGAGTGAGGACATCGCTTTCTGACGGCCGTCATTGGAAGTTGATACAGCGAAGCCCCTTTTCGTCCACTATACACAGGCGCTATCACCCGTGGAAGTATGTTTTGGTCTATCAATAAATATCATCCTCTGAGGTTATTTCCGTTGCGTGAATACATATTTGAGTACAAATTGTATAATCTCTTTATCATATAATATGTGTGAAATACTATGTGGATCTCTCCTCCAATTAAACAATATTTATCTTATTATTAATAAATTAATAATTATATGATAAATATTATTTAACCCTTTGTAAATGATCTGACGGTCTCTTGACTGCTATATTAAACCGGAAACAAAATTATTGCACGGGGCTGACACACCGGTAGCATCTGATTGCTGATATCATTGTGTGCTGAGCATAGGCAGAATTTCTGTTAAACTGCAACTGCAAGAATTATGTTGTATACATTGTATTCCATATGCCTTCCATCACACTACCCACACTGGGGCCACCTGAGAGAGTGAGTTATTGTGTTTCTATGCATATATCGTATATTGTACAAATATTTTATATAATCCATCATCATCACAGCCCGTGAACTTGGACTTCAAACATATTCCTAAACTAATATATATTACAAAATATTACATATGATATTGTATTAGTTTTGAAATCATTTATGTCTTTTTTAATGTCTTGGGGTTTAATTCCTTTTTCCAACATAAGCATGTGGTAAATATATTTAGATAATAAAACTATTTTCAATAACCAAATGATTGGCCCCTGACGTGATGGAAGTGATAATCTAAATCCTTTTCAACTACAAAAGAGCCTTTAGTAATGACCTATTACTGCGCGTGTGAAGCATCTTTTCATGGTTGTTTAGGATGCACTAAAACTCATCTGATGATTTAAGCTTTAATCATGAAGCGGAGCAAGCGCTTACACAACAACTTTATCAACGTGACAGGATTTCTTGGCTCGTCGTAAGCCTTATAAATAGATTGCTGGTTATTTTTAGAAGTGGGGTTCCCCTCCTGGCTCTTTACAACATATAAAATGTAGTTCACTTTACACCCGTTTCCCATTCCACAGAAAGATCTCGTGTCGACACCTGATGAGAGGTAGCGCCGGTCATGTTGACTACACACTTTTAGAAGAGATCGGAACTACTTCATGCTAGAACACAAGAAAATATCAACTTCAATTTGGGCACCACAGAATAGATATTGCGTCCCAAGATGGTGCGGCTGGTGTTATACGTGACATGTTTCGTTGTATTTTCTATGCATACTGGAATCACACACGGGTTTACGTGTTACCGGGATCACTGTGTAGCAGGGCGACAGTACTGTGTGGAGGAACGAGAGAGATGTTTCCACTGCTCGGACAGGGAGAGCGAATGTGGCCAGGCCACCATGCCCGCTGACTGCGGCGCTTACTGCGCTGAGGTGGAGTTGAAAAGGAGATTATCGGAATTAAACGGAACAAACGAGAATCTCAGAACACAGACATTGCAGTGTAGCGGAGATCTGAACAAAACACATTCTGAAAATACACAACTCAATGCACAAATCAAAGACTCACAGCAAAAAGCTGCAATTTCGCAAAAGGAAAATCGAAAGTTCGCAAACGAAATTGCTGTGCTTAAGAACGAAACGAAGTCACCGAAGGAGTCGATGTACGGGAACAGTGAAATCCACTCCGAGAGGATAAAGTATCTCCAGAACGTAATTGCAGGTACGATACTGAATGCCAGTGACTAGGGTGGTAGTCATGTAAAGAAGGATGTTAGCGGTCAGGTTAGAGACTGTAACATATATTGTCGCTACCCCCAGTCTAAACTTACGCTCAGTATTATTCGGTACAGTGCTATACTGAGTCTAACAAAACCTAGTAGAAGGTCGCGTCAGCCAACCTTTGAGCGACCTACGACCGTCCAATCAAACGCGAGACGGCCGAACGGATTTAACCAATCAGACAACGACTACTTGTTAGGGTTCGGCGGGACTTACAAAACGTTTTTTGGATTTTCTCTTCCCTGGTCGCTGACACTGATCTATCAACAAACGAAAATCCGCATAAAACACAGATATTTGACCTACAGTATATACGCTTAGGGGTTTCTAATGACATGGTTACTATTAGCTTATATTTCTGCAAGATGACATCCTTGAATATTGACAAAAACGCTATGTTCAGCGACTGTTTACTCACTGCGTGTATCACTCGGAAGCGATCGTTCGGGAAATAGCATTCGGAATCTTTCGGGTTTTTGAGGTAAATGTTCAAACGGTATGTGCGAATGTTACCTTTCGCGATTTGGTAAGCTGTGTTCTGATTGGTCAGTCCAAAAGGTTAGCTGACGCGACCTTCTACTAGGTTTTTGTTAGACTCAGTAATAGCAGTGTTACGAATAATACTGAGCGTAAGTTTACTTAGACTGCCGCTACTCCCGATTTATGCACCATTTGTTATGACAACACGTTATGGTTTCTCGTCGTCTTCATGTTTTGTTATATGTTTGAAGGTGTTTACAAAATACAACAAATCGTATGAAATTCTAAATATATTAGATATCTGCGAAGATATATGTAGCTGTTTAAACGGGAGGACATGTGGTCCATGATGTGTTGCATGTAATGCACAAATAATACGCATCATAAACCTTGAGAATGAGTTGTGTTGTGGAGAATTTATCTCACCCGATTCAGTTATGCCTCTATGTTTCAGATTGGAGAATTGGATGTATCTTTGGCTGGGTTCTGCTTTCTCTCAGTATATTTTGGCAATCAAAAAACTGTCTACGCCGTCTGTTCAAACGCAGAAGGAACCTAACCGACAACGCGAAACTTCTTGGCAACCATGAACTCAGCGCGCCTGCGAGAGAACCGGAACCGGAAGTCACGGTAGATATAGACATGCATGACAAAGAGTGCGCCCCTGAATATGAGGACTCTGGTCAAGGATCCACGTCTTCCCTGGACAGTGAGGTCCGTGATAGGGGGAATCAAAATCAGTCGGAAATCACTTCAGACAGACAGACAAAGAAGAGAGCAGGTCCAATGTCCGATGGAGGATGCGAATGTAGACACTCCCACGGAACTGGAGTTAAACCCTGCAAATGTAACCAGCCGGTAGAACCAACAAAGGGAAAGAACTCAGAGCGTGCCGCTATGGTGTTGAACCCGACACCAGCAATGACGTACCCGTTCCCTTCGTTTAACTGAGATACTGTAGCACAATGAGTTTTTATTTCTGATATTATTCATTTTCAATAAAACATTCAAAATGAACTTTTTAGTCGTGGTTTTATTCCGTACGACTCCAGAGAATCGTGACGGTGCCGCAAAAACCATACGAACGTATCAGATCATGCATTCACAATCAAAACCTTTGGCTCACAAATACGACGGTCTAAGGGAGGTAATATAACAAACTAAAAGAGTCGCTCGTACAATCTACTCTTTGGCACCCGAAGTAACCACAAAATGCCGTCTGTTTTAATTGCCGTTTGTCAGGAGTAACATATCGTTTATCAGTGAAAACAAATCTCACTGGACGTGGCGACATTCTAGTGATTGTAAAGACTTTTGTTTTGACCAAATTCACAAGTAGGTCTAACACCTTTATCTTCAAGCATATATTAAAAATACAATGAAAATGTCCCGTTTCCGAGAGAAAGTATTCATCATCACTAAAACCAGCTTAATCATTTCGTAACGGAAAATCCTGCCGTGAAATCTTATATTTTCTACATTGTAACAAGAAAATGAGATTCGTAAATTCAAGCGACGTCGTCAAGAGCAGTAGGCTGTAAAGAGTTATATCATGTCTATTATTTCCAAGGAAGCTATACAAAATGCGCTTCTGCATTAATAGAAAGTTTTAAATCCTTACATATACCATGGGGTTTACTCTTATTTCACAAAAGGGGACATGGGTTAATTCCATGCATACATGACTGGGACTGCCTTGATCACATCAACCCAAACTATATTTTTGAGCGACAAAAAATCATTGAATTCAGGCCAGAAATTGGACAGGTTTAACATTAAGCAGCTTTAACATCCTGACATATGTAAGGCTGGATGATGAACTTTGCCAGAATGTAATAAGTGAGGGGGTTGGATTATGCCTAGCAGTCTGAAACACTGACCACAGTACCCTGCCGCCTGTTAGTCGATCCAAGGCAAATGACCCTTTCAACAGATGAAATCACTTTTAGACCACAGCATGATAAGAACTTACACTTGAATCTATTGATTCATCAAGCTAAGACTTTGAAATACTTCCAGAAATTCAAAACTATTGACTGTGTATTGTTTTGAGGGGCTGTTACACTTACCAACTTCATGTATAAGCCAGTTCAGAGGGAACAAAGTGAAAAAATCCACATAACTTTGGAAATTTATTGGATTTACCCTGCCCTAAACTGAATATTTTTTAATTACAATTAACAGTATTTGACAATATCAGCTAAAACAGAGCTTCTCTGCAGTAATTTATAGGTTACTGGGTTAGAGAAAAGACACAATGTATTATTTGGGTAAACAGGGGAGATAATTTTTAAGATCTCCGAACACTCTTATGTCAATAAAATGTGAATTCAGACCCATAATATTACATTCCCACAAGGGTCAGTTATTTATTATTTACATCTAAGCAGCTTCTGGGATTGATGCACAGCCCTTATTTCATGTCTGGGAAGCTGAAATACTACACACTGAGGCATTAAGGGGACACTGTCAGAAATTTCTAATGTATGAGGATGACCAGTGATGGAATTTGGTAGTGAGACATTTTTGGTGCCTTAACTGGACTGGGACGCCTTAAATGTACTATATGTACCTACATGTCCAAAGTACTGCAACTTCTACAAAGGCGGTGAAGCATATCCGAGCAAAGGGGTATGCTTGATTAGACACTGCTAACAACAGACCGGACGGCATGTGAAATACCACATTGGATGTGAAGGCTTCTTTTTCTGCTGTATTTGTGAAGATACACCTCCCCATTCACCAACAGGCATTCTACAAGCTGAAAATAGTGTTGAGATTACATTAAATGTCAAATCATAAAATCTATAACAGCAATGAGACAGTTGTTAATAAAACAGAAATTCATTTTGAAAGTCCTATGGGTGAAAAAGGGGTATATTTTTAAAAAGGAAAAGAAAATTAGGTCGTTGCATATTCAAAGGGACAGGCAGAAAGAATTGATCATATGCTACACTGTTTGCATTTAAAACAAGGGTTTGTGACATGTTCTGCTGTCAGCAGTGAACAAATTTCATGATATTCTTATCATTTGACTTCAAATTGACCCTCAGGAGATTAGCAGACACTCACATTGTTGTGGCAGTGGTGATTTTAACCTAATTTGTTGTCAAATTCATCAGTTCCAACAAATTTAGAAGCCAGGGAACCACTACTTGATGGTAAGACTCACGTGAGGGTCTTTTCCCACTGTTAGACCACAAAGCGAAGCAGCGTTCATATTCTGGACACTAAAACAATCTATTCCACTCAAAACAGCCCTATCTTTACTCCCAGTACCTTTAAATTTGCCTCTACATTTAATGCTAACATGTTTCCATGGTGAAATAAACACAGGAAATCATGTAAAGTATGAATTACTGAAAAGTGCTTTCGAACCCTACAGGTTACACAACACCAAATGTTTTCCCATAGACTTCTATAGTAGCCTTATATTTTTTTTAAAATAATCCAGGCTATCAACAGCCATTCCATGTGCACATGGGTACACTCTGGCCTTTAAACTACCATAAAACACACTATCTGGCCAACTTGTCCGGCTCGTTTTGCGAGCACAGGAAGCGGAACACATCAACCCCAGATCCGCGCAAATGTCACCTACTGGAAAATATCTGTACACACAATAAGCATAAGTCATGGTGATGAAAATCCACAGCACTGAATACTTAAAATTGTGGTCAGTTTTAATTACTGGTTGGATATGCTTTTAAAAAAACATAAACATCTTACACTATTTCATCCAATCACAGCTGTCACATGTCTTTATCTCTTCATTTTTGTTTACATCGCATCTGGCTCAGTGAGCAAGCGATTCTCATTTAGTGTAGTATAACCTGTAGGACAATTTAGAAACATTTGCCCTAGGCAAATCTGTGACTTATGTACTGTATATACATGCAACTTCTCAGAAAAATATAAAACTGCATGAAGCTTCAATACTTTTTCCTGTCCAACATATCTATATGGCACAAGAATATATGGATTTGCTGCACTGACAGAGCTGTAAGAGTTATATCATGTCTATTTCACCAAAGCTATACAAAATGCACTTCTGCATTAATAGAGAAAGTTTTAAATCATACATATACCATGGGGTTTACTCTTATTTCACAAAAGGGGGACATGGGTTAATTCCATGCATGACTGGGACTGCCTTGATCACATCAACCCAAACTATATTTTGAGCGACAAAATCATTGAATTCAGGCCAGAAATTGGACAGGTTTAACATTAAGCAGCTTTAACATCCCTGACATATGTAAGGCTGGATGATGAACTTTGCCAGAATGTAATAAGTGAGGGTTGGATTATGCCTAGCAGTCTGAAACACTGACCACAGTACCCTGCAGCCTGTTTAGTCGATCAAGGCAAATGACCCTTTCAACAGATGAAATCACTTTTAGACCACAGCATGATAAGAACTTACACTTGAATCTATTGATTCATCAAGCTAAGACTTTGAAATACTTCCAGAAATTCAAAACTATTGACTGTGTATTGTTTTGAGGCTGTTACACTTGCCAACTTCATGTATAAGCCAGTTCAGAGGAACAAAGTGAAAAATCCACATAACTTTGGAAATTTATTGGATTTACCCTGCCCTAAACTGAATATTTTTAATTACAATTAACAGTATTTGACAATATCAGCTAAAAACAGAGCTTCTCTGCAGTAATTGATGGGTTACTGGGTTAGAGAAAGACACAATGTATTTGGGTAAACAGGGGAGATAATTTTAAGATATCGAACACTCTTATGTCAATAAAATGTGAATTCAGACCCATAATATTACATTCCACAAGGGTCAGTTGTTATTATTTACATCTAAGCAGCTTCTGGGATTGATGCACAGCCCTTATTTCATGTCTGGGAAGCTGAAATACTACACACTGAGGCATTAAGGGGACACTGTCAGAAATTTCTAATGTATGAGGATGACCGAGTGATGGAATTTGGTAGTGAGACATTTTGGTGCCTTAACTGGACTGGGACACTTAAATGTACTATATGTACCTACATGTCCAAGTACTGCAACTTCTACAAGGCGGTGAAGCATATCGAAGCAAAGGGAGTATGCTTGATTAGACACTACTAACAACAGACGGCCGGCATGTCGAGAAATACCACATTGGATGTGAAGGCTTCTTTTTCTGCTGTATTTGTGAAGATACACCTCCCCATTCACCAACAGGCATTCTACAAGCTGAAAATAGTGTTGAGATTACATTAAATGTCAAATCATAAAATCTATAACAGCAATGAGACAGTTGTTAATAAAACAGAAATTCATTTTGAAAGTCCTATGGGTGAAAAAAGGGGTATATTTTTAAAAAGGAAAAGAAAATTAGGTCGTTGCATATTCAAAGGGGACAGGCAGAAAGAATTGATCATATGCTACACTGTTTGCATTTAAAACAAGGGTTTGTGACATGTTCTGCTGTCAGCAGTGAACAAATTTCATGATATTCTTATCATTTGACTTCAAATTGACCCTCAGGAGATTAACTTAGACACTCACATTGTTGTGGCAGTGGTGATTTTAACCTAATTTGTTGTCAAATTCATCAGTTCCAACAAATTTAGAAGCCAGGGAACCACTACTTGATGGTAAGACTCACCGTGAGAGGTCTTTTCCCACTGTTCGACCACAAAGCGAAGCAGCGTTCATATTCTGGACACTAAAACAATCTATTCCACTCAAAACAGCCCTATCTTTACTCCCAGTACCTTTAAATTTGCCTCTACATTAATGCTAACATGTTTCCATGGTGAAATAAACACAGGAAATCATGTAAAAGTATGAATTACTGAAAAGTGCTCGAACCCTGTAGGACAATTTAGAAACATTTGCCCTAGGCAAATCTGTGACTTATGTACTGTATATACATGCAACTTCTCAGAAAAAAATATAAAACTGCATGAAGCTTCAATACTTTTTCCTGTCAACATATCTATATGGCACAAGAATATATGGATTTGCTGCACTGACAGAGCTGTAAAGAGTTATATCATGTCTATTTCACCAAAGCTATACAAAATGCACTTCTGCATTAATAGAAAGTTTTTAAATCATACATATACCATGGGAGTTTACTCTTATTTCACAAAAAGGGGGACATGGGTTAATTCCATGCATGACTGGGACTGCCTTGATCACATCAACCCAAACTATATTTTGAGCGACAAAATCATTGAATTCAGGCCAGAAATTGGACAGGTTTAACATTAAGCAGCTTTAACATCCTGACATATGTAAGGCTGGATGATGAACTTTGCCAGAATGTAATAAGTGAGGGGTTGGATTATGCCTAGCAGTCTGAAACACTGACCACAGTACCCTGCAGCCTGTTAGTCGATCAAGGCAAATGACCCTTTCAACAGATGAAATCACTTTTAGACCACAGCATGATAAGAACTTACACTTGAATCTATTGATTCATCAAGCTAAGACTTTGAAATACTTCCAGAAATTCAAAACTATTGACTGTGTATTGTTTTGAGGCTGTTACACTTGCCAACTTCATGTATAAGCCAGTTCAGAGGGAACAAAGTGAAAAATCCACATAACTTTGGAAATTTATTGGTTACCCTGCCTAAACTGAATATTTTTTAATTACAATTAACAGTATTTGACAATATCAGCTAAAAACAGAGCTTCTCTGCAGTAATTTATGGGTTACTGGGTTAGAGAAAAGACACAATGTATTTGGGTAAACAGGGAGATAATTTTAAGATATCGAACACTCTTATGTCAATAAAATGTGAATTCAGACCCATAATATTACATTCCACAAGGGTCAGTTGTTATTATTTACATCTAAGCAGCTTCTGGGATTGATGCACAGCCCTTATTTCATGTCTGGGAAGCTGAAATACTACACACTGAGGCATTAAGGGGACACTGTCAGAAATTTCTAATGTATGAGGGATGACCGAGTGATGGAATTTGGTAGTGAGACATTTTGGTGCCTTAACTGGACTGGGACACTTAAATGTACTATATGTACCTACATGTCCAAGTACTGCAACTTCTACAAAGGCGGTGAAGCATATCGAAGCAAAGGGGTATGCTTGATTAGACACTGCTAACAACAGACTTGGCCGGTATGTCGAGAAATACCACATTGGATGTGAAGGCTTCTTTTTCTGCTGTATTTGTGAAGATACACCTCCCCATTCACCAACAGGCATTCTACAAGCTGAAAATAGTGTTGAGATTACATTAAATGTCAAATCATAAAATCTATAACAGCAATGAGACAGTTGTTAATAAAACAGAAATTCATTTTGAAAGTCCTATGGGTGAAAAAAGGGGTATATTTTTAAAAAAGGAAAAGAAAATTAGGTCGTTGCATATTCAAAAGGGGACAGGCAGAAAGAATTGATCATATGCTACACTGTTTGCATTTAAAACAAGGGTTTGTGACATGTTCTGCTGTCAGCAGTGAACAAATTTCATGATATTCTTATCATTTGACTTCAAATTGACCCTCAGGAGATTAACTTAGACACTCACATTGTTGTGGCAGTGGTGATTTTAACCTAATTTGTTGTCAAATTCATCAGTTCCAACAAATTTAGAAGCCAGGGAACCACTACTTGATGGTAAGACTCACCGTGAGGGTCTTTTCCCACTGTTAGACCACAAAGCGAAGCAGCGTTCATATTCTGGACACTAAAACAATCTATTCCACTCAAAACAGCCCTATCTTTACTCCCAGTACCTTTAAATTTGC